CGCTCTTCACAGGTCTGTGAAATAGTTCGGGTGATACGATGATGATGATCTCTGTTCCTGTTTAGCCTAAGCCTTGCTGTCTGCCTACAGATTGTTTCCTCTTTCTTTTTGCAGGCTTTTTAGTGCAATTTTAGAACAAGCAACCAAAGCAGATGGGGGGAACTCAATAGGAGGGAAAGGTGCCGGATTTGATGTTAAAGCACTGCGGGCTTTCCGAGTATTACGTCCCTTACGGCTGGTGTCTGGAGTCCCTAGTAAGTAACATCATTGGTTTTCTTTCATGTATGTCTGTGGTGTGGCATGGGGCAGGAATAATTTGTGGGATAATTTTGAAGATGGATCATGATGCAGGTTATTTTTGGGGTGTGTGGGAGGCCTTTTTTCAAGTTAATGTATTCACAATAAACGTGGTGTTAATTAAAGGACGTCCAAACCAGAGCTGAAGGGAAATGGAAGTTTCAAGGTATGTCAATCTGATTGTGCAACCTTTGTAAACAATGGAAGTGGGAGATGCAAGATTTTCATTATTTCAAGCAAAAGAACCTTTAAATGATTGCGAAGTCACAGTGCACTGTTGATATTACAAAAACTTGACTTTGTTGGAAATGCTGTATGATCATTTGTGTTGATTTTGGAGGGAGCAGAGCATTTTTATTAGAATTCCGTTTTCTTCTTTGCATGTGATGGTCTAATTGAGAGCACTGGGAACAATTTAGAACCAGTGGCAGTTGCCAACAGGGCAATGACAATCATGTTCTCTGTTAGTCGTATTTGCTTTAAATTATTTGTAGTGCCTCTGAGAAAGTCTTCAACTCTATGATCCATTTTCTTACTTAAAATGAAGGTATGAGTAACTGGAATTCTGTTAATTCTATTGTGGAGGTGGAATATGGACAACACAGTGTGGGAGGATTATGTCATTTGACTTGAGAGTTTGTTATAGATGGGGCCTATTGGCCTTTTGGAGAGAGGGTTATTTGAAAGCTATCATTGCTCTCCGGGTTTATAGCAATAAGAGATGCCGTTACCAGGAAAGGAGTTAATCTTCTCCGGAATAGCTGTGGAGAAAGCTTTGTTTATTTTTATTTGCAGAGCTTACTAGTTTGATACCTTAAATTACTTCTAACCTTAGTCATCCAAAAGCCTTGCGTCAAGTTACCATAAACTGTGACATCAGCTTAAAAATCATTATTTATTTGTTAGGGGGAAAAAAAAAAAGTGTGAGGTTCTTTCTCTTTGGCTTATTTTCTGACCTGCTAGGTTATACTAGAGCAATATTTGTGGGCCTTTCTCCACAGCCATAAAGGGTAGAAACTTTTTAAATGAAAGTTGAGAATCTCTGTAGGAGGAGCTGAAGCACTAATAAAATTTAAAAAAAAAATTTAAAAAAAAATGAGGCAGTTGCCAGCACTACTATTCAGTCTCACAAATAGCCATGCTTAGTAACCTGTCTGCCGGGGCCCAGCTTGGGCTTGGCTTGGGGTTACTCTGGACAGCAGTGGCTGAGTAGAAAATACTGAAAAGTAAATCCTGTCTATTAGGCAACTAAGGACCTTCCCCTTGATATAGAACTAATATCCACTATTCATGCCACCTCTTTTTGGGTTTACTTTATATAATCTTAATCCCAGTGTAGACTATCTAGTAGTCCATTTGTGGGTTTTCTCATCAACAGAAGTATTTAATTTGCACCAGAACAGAGCCAGGGAGCCAGGTGCATGCTAACAAATATTTGGTCTAAACAATGAAATGGCCATCCAGTGTGAAGCAGGCAAACCAACTTGACCTGACAGACATCCTCTGTTGGACTTCATGGTTCTGACTAGGGACATATTTATTGAACAAGGCTTCTTTGAGTCTGGTTTGGTTTACAAGAGCCTACTGAGGTCTGTAGTTAATATGGACTCTGTCTTCACTGAGTATTTTTTAATTGTACAAATGCCTATTGATTAACCTAGATAGATGCTATCACATCCATATGTATGAGAGCATAACTTTTCTCATGAGGCCTTTTAGATAAGATTGCTTAAGCCAACCATAAATGGTACATTACAGGATTACATTATTACATAATAAGTTAGTGCAAAGGTTTAGAAGTCAAATCTCTGGGTTCCGTTCAAGTTCTGTCCCTGAAACATCATTAACACCACTGAGTGAGTTACCAACACTGCACTTGCTGTGTTCTGCCAGCCATAAACAAATGCCTTTTTCTTCTTTCCCCTTCCAAAATGCAGTAGACTTTTCCACTGTGAGGTGGCAAATTGCACAGGTTTGTCCTAAAATTACATGAATGTACCATGCACTGCAATTTCTTCTCACTTAACGGACTCTGTAAGTGTATGGAAGCAGCATCTCATGAGTAAGGAAGAATCTTCTGGGCCATTGGCAGCCACCTTCTGCATGGAAAGCCCAACATCTGCTGCTTGGCTTAAGGTCCAGATCTAATTACCACCATTTGGGGGAAAAAAAAAGTATAAAGTACAATGATTCTTGTAAACCAGATTTATGAAGTGCATGGTCAATTTTTGCATGCATATCTTAGACTCATTAAGATTGTGATTGGGAAATAGGTTGTCTGAGGTGGAGAGTTTGGCTTGCAGCATGGAATAACTTTTTTCCTGAATTAAAAGGAGTTTGCATGGATTTTTTTTTTATCTCTGGCTCAATCTATAGGAAATAATCCAATTTAAGAGGAACATCTTTTGTATTCAGGTTTCAGCATTTAAAGACCTGTTTAAGACTATAGAGAGTTTTTACACAAAGGTGACTGACTGGAAATAGGGGAAAAACATATGAATTGCCATGTAAAGTAAATTAATAGTGTCTGCGTTTTGCAGGTGGGGAGACTGAAGCAAAAGTTCAAGGATAACACTTCCAGAAGTGGCTTCTAATTCTATATGTCTAACATTGGCTACCAGGACACCTGGATCCACAGGGGGATCTGAAAGTTTCAGATAGTTGGATATAGGACATTAGACTTAGAGCTGAGAATCTCTTTTCTCTAAGTCCCGTCCATGCTTAGTTCCTCGGACTTTGATGCCTCTTGCCAGAAAACATCTCAGCAAAGAGTTCAGGGACTGTTCAGCACAGAAAGTGTTTTGTCTGCAAGCCAAGTTGGTTCACTCACAGCCAAACAAGCATAAGTACCTTTGACAATCTTTGTTACAACCAAACTGTGCCCAGGCCCCAAACTACTTTTACTGCCTCCTAAAATCAAAAGGGTTGAGATAATGAACTCAACAAAGCCTGAAGACTATGTGTAGGTGACTGTCCTGGACAAACAAATATTTTACGATTTGCAAGAGAACAGATGATACTTTTATTCTTCGTAGTTATCTGGACATTCACAAGACCACTTGTTGTAAGGAAGGAGATAGACATTTTGTTTAAAATGAGACAGATATTTTTTTACCTATGTCAAAAAAAACCAATTGTAACATCAGGGAAGAAGCCTCCAAAGGCAACTGAACTTAACATCTTTGGGTTCCCATTACACCTTCAAAAATTGGTATTAAATATTTACACATTTCCAAGCAAATAAAAATACATAGTTTGGGTTCCTTTCTTGAAAACTTTTTTTGGACTGAGAAGTACAGCTTATGTTGTGACTATATGAAGTGCATGGTGGACAAATAGATCAGATGCTTCCCACAGCTCTCATCCCAGTGTTGGCAGTTGTTTTATGAGCTAAATAAAAGGGATAATTAAGCAAACTCTTTATTTTAATTTATTTTTTTTCATTTCTAACTCCTTTTAAAGTCATACTGCTGCTGGAAAAATTACCCACTCCCATTCTGTTTAGCCCAGCATTAACTTGTAAATGAATGGTGAATGTTTTCAAAAGCACATAGATGATTTAGGTTTCACAGTGGTAAGTCAGTTTTTAAAATTAGACATAAGCAGTATATATGAGTGATACACATGCCAGACTCCACTGTTCAACTATTCTGTTACTATCATGCTAACATAATTCTTGTAGTGCATACTTTATTTCAGTTGTTGAAATAACTTTACTGCTTGTGTACTAAAGCAGTCTCCTTGTACAAACCCCTTCACAGGTGTATTAGAACACTCATCTTAGTATGGCATTAAGATTATTATATTGGTTTGAGAAAGAGGAGAGAAGGAAAACAATTCCCTTGACAGACATAAATAGACAAATGCAAAATCAGCATGTATACCAAAACTTAATCACTTTAGTGTCTTGGAAACTGTTACCCAGGACCTCCTTTGGCAGGAGAGTAAAGCAATGCAAAGCTTTCTAGGGACAGAATCGAGTCAGCCCTTTTGTGTTAAGAGTTTTGTATTGATTGGTCTTCTATCTCCATTTTACATTATTACATATTTTGAAACTTGTTTTAAACATTTTGTTCCTGAGGAGAGCAAAAAGAAGCATCCAATTCAGTAATAAAGAAGCATGATCCAATTAAAAAAGAAAATCATTCCTGACTATTGGAAAGGGCAATCAGTTACTCCTACGCATGATAACTCACGCCCATATAACTTATTAAATTCTGCTGCTCAATTATACCACCTCATACATTCTGTTCATACTCTTTATGTTGTACTTCATCTTCCTGCAACTACATTGTTGCCACTAGTTATTGACTGTCTGATATTTGCCAAACTTAATTTATAAGCTCCTCTAGATAATTTGAAAGCCATATAATCTGAGTAGGTGTTGTGATCCATACTCACATTTTCAATGAGATCCTCTGCTGACCACCCAGATTTCTGTAGGCAGAAGACCATGATATCCTTATCAAAGATAGAGAGGAAACTTGACTGTTCCACTAGAACAAAAACTTGCCACATTTGTTCTTTTCTCCTTTTTTTTTTTTTTAAGAAACACAAAAAGATACTCAAACAAAAAACAGAAAAAGTTACTCAAAGGGAGTGTAGGTTGGTCTATAGCACCAGTACTTACATGGTCTAATGGAGTTGCAACAATTGCATAACTGGGAAACAGAGGGTATGACTAAGAGAACCTAAGCCAGACCCTCCTCATGGCAGTGCAATGCCAGTGAAACAACAGCATCTAACTGGCTGAGTAGATTTTTTTTTTTTTTAGTTAAAATGAAATAAGACCAGAACTTTTATATATGAATGCCTAGAGATGACTACTTTGACTTGTATTTCAATAACTAACTAGAGCAACTAATTTTTCAGAATGGTGCTGCTGTTGAAGTCCATGATTGCTCTGAGTTCATGTGAAAATTAGACACCTTCAAACAAGGTGAATGAAAAATCTAGA